CGTTTTGTCCCAGTCTGTGATTACATTTATCCTTCCTTTATTCGTAGTTTCTGCCCAGCCCAGTAAGCCCGGCAAGGATATGTGAAGTTTTTGAAGAGCACAGCACTTACCGCACCGTCCAGTCGACACCTGTCTACGGTCAGGTCGCAGTTTGGCCAGCAAACTACGGGACCAATCCGCGTCTCAGTCAAAGCCCGGTCATTTGTAATTTATTTGCCTTGAAGAATTAGCACTATAAGGCGATGCAACCGGAGATTCGCAGGTCGAATACGGCGACAAGTATGGCCGCCCGGGCTGGCAGTACTAGACTCAACTTGAGGCTCTCAACCGCGCCAACTTATAAGCGTGTGGCCCCTAGTACATGTTGAGTTCACGGACTGATGACACAAATTACTTTCCTTCACAATATCCACCAACATTGCCGCTCAAACCTTGAGAAAGGCCTACGACCTAAGCAGAATGTCTTCAAGACAAATTAACATGGGAAATCTGGCAAAGAATACAGTGCGGGTATCTGCTTTGGTGGAAAACTGCCTTTCCCTCCTGGCTGATTTACAAGTTTGACAGATGAACGAGGCTAGGACACTGAGTTATATCATGAAGTCTTGTCAGCCAAGCAGAATGTTTGCCAACCAATAACAAGACATAAACAAAGGACAAATGAACATGTTTAACGATGAGAGAGAATCCAGGTTGGCTTGCAGGAATGCTTGGTTTGTTTACGAAAAATCAGGGATAGAAGACCCAGTGCTCCAGTGATAAGACACTAAACGAGTTGACAAGGGCAGCGACAATGAAGAACAGAACATTGAAATCGATTAAAAAGACCTAATGAAAGCCGAGAAATATTGGCTAGACCAGCAACACGTTCGAAAGGAGCTATGAAAACCAACGAATTCTTCAAATCCAACCATGCCGAAGCACAAGATGCCAACCAAGTTCAATGAGAAGATGACAGAAACATGTTTAATATATCGCGAAACTGGATTTGGAGCTGAGTGCCCGGAGGATGATGCTGCAGTCACCTTGCATCATATGACAAAGGACTTTGAAGGATCCAAAGGGCACTGTAGCTGGACTGTCGTTCTGTCTTGTTGTTCGAGAAACCTAGTTCTCTACTGAGCAATAACCGCAGCGATAATGAGAACAAGATTCACATTTGTAGGTGCTTAGGGGCATAGGATTTCGAAGCATTCCCCCGGTACAGTTGCAACAGTACCAGAAGGGGTCGCGGACTGGTTGGAACCCTCCAGACCTGCTTTGAATAAGTTTCGTGCCATTTAACACACAGTAGACAAGTTGTCTTACATTATGCTGTTAGATTGAGAAAAATGTCTTGATATTTGGGTTTGGCACGATGTAAGTGACAATGATCGATGTGAATATCAAAGTATTTGCTGATGAGTGTAAACAGAAGCTCTCTGCTCTCTCTTCCATTGTATCGCTCGCGCTTGACGAAAGCTTTTATACCAACTCATGCAACACTTGTAGCTTCTCTGTCTAGCAGGACTTTCTGATGAGTCTCTCGAGAGCCGCATCGGAGGCGCGTTGAAGTCTACTGACTTCCCAAGCCATCATGACTAGCTTCACAATCATGAGGAGTGGCTATGATGCCACCTTTTTCGGGGTTTGACTACGGGGCACGGATGATCCTACAATTGTCGCCAACCACGAATGTCTAGAGTCAAACGATTTCCACTGGGAATGCCAGACTTTCTGGAGGCTTAGACCATTCGACATGTTTGGGGACTTGCATCGCGCCTGTATCGCGGCATGTTTCTCTGAAAACATCGCAAGGGCCTATATTCTGCTTGCCCTGACCGAGAGAAGTTGGCTGTGACCATCACGAGGAATAGTCTGATGTGCGACTTGGTTCCCACAACATCTGAGCACAAGAAGATCGTCAAGCACTCGAGATATCCAAGTGTAAAACGAGGCGTACGCTAGTCATCAAAGACTAGAGCGCCCAATATTTGGTCAACAATGGCGGGCGTGATGGCGCGGGTTTGTGCACATTATGACTCGAGAGGAGTGGCGGAGACTGCAACCATCCGCTATTCAATTAATGCCTCCAATATGGTGTCAACGTCTTTGAAAAGTCATCTTGCTCAAGGCTCGATGATCGGGAATTCGTTTGGAACGCAGGCAGGTATTCGAGGGGACGAGACTTCAAAAAGGGCATTGACCTGACCGTACTTCGTCTTCAATGAGGTATCTTCATAGATATCCTTCTCAGTATGTCGGAAGAACTTCGGAGCCATCCCGATAGAATCCTATCGTTGCGAGTTCCTTCTCCAGGTAACATGACCACATCTGTCTGCGTGGCGCGGCATGATGATGTATTTTAAGGGGCCACGCCTTGTTGGGGGGGTCTGATTGTCAAAGGATTGGTCGGTGTTGGTTTTGGTCCATCGGAGGAAAGATTGTTGCTACTCGTGGCTTGTATCGCAGGTCGGCTGGGAGCGTCTCCTTCGTGCAAGCGCCAAGGTCAGTCCAATCCTCTTGCGAGTTGAAAACGTGCTGACAGGGCTGGATTGCTTGTCACTGGTTTATTTCGAGCAGATCTCACCGTGCAGCATCTTGTCACACACCTCCTACAGCCTCACATGTGCTACCTTCGCCTCGAAACCCAAAATATCTGGGACCAGCTGTAACAATCGATCGTCGCTGTCATGGTATGAACCTCGGTCCGCAGTGGTGACGACATCGTGGAGGTAGTTGAACAAAGATCCCATACTGAATCCGTGGTGAATTGTGATTACCTTCAGCCTGCCCGGAGGTTCTCCTCGCTCTACCCGGGAACTTCATGGTGAAGGACACTTGTGAAGCTGCTTAGTGTGTTAGAGCTAGTATAGAGCTCTCGCATAGCCACTTCACGATCCGCACGTATTCATTACATGGTCTTAGTCGCTACATTATTCGCTCTTCGAAGGCGCAAAAGTGGAGGTATCGCAAGTGAGGCTCTTGTCGATGTGCTGTATTGGCGTGGAATGCATGGTGGGATGTTGTTTCTCTACTATCGAGGGCATCTTGTGGGCGAACGCTGACGTACATGCGTCTTTGGTGGGCAAAGGCAATTGTTCTGGCACCTGATCTGGGTCATTTTGCGTGTGTGTAAATGAAGAAGGGCTTGACCGGCTGCCGGGCATTCAGCGCCTCTCTGCCTAGAAGAATGTAAGGCATGGTAAGGAGCTGATTTTCCTCTGGATGAGAAAGGTTGACTACTTGGCATATAGATGATAACGACATATTTCATCTAGCAGCCGAGAATTTTCCTTTGGTTATTTCTCGTCTGATCGACCGCGGACGGCATTGCTCGCGCAAGTTTCTGGAACCATATCGATACCCAAGTTGTCTTCCTGCAGGTGCTGTGATGCTTTTCATGGAACGGATGCCACATGCCTACCTCGAATCGACACACCCTCTAGAGTCCTCGTATCGACGCCAAAAGGGTGGGAAACAGTATTGATTACCAAATTTGGCGACAACAAATCACTACTGCCTTACCTGTTTGGAAAGGGAACTCCGCATTTTGTGCATTATGCGCAGGATGACAGAGATTCCGAATCACTTACCGGATGAACACCAGTTCTTCTGGCGCCCGAGCACATGCAAAATCATGATCCTCTCCCAGCTCGGCGTGGGGTTGTGCTACGTGGCTAGTCAATGGTAGGGTAAAACAATGTGCCATGATCAGGACACACATGATCGGTGTTTTCACATCCTGGCCAGTACAGTAGCGGAGCATTAGTATCAACGGATACTGCGGAGTCAAGGTAGCTTTCTAAGCTATCAGCGGCCCGATAGGTATGGTTTTGAGTTCGAGGATACGGCACGAAGATTAACAGTCTGTTGAGTATTGCCGTTAAACAACACTCCATTTGCTTCTTTTGTTCAACTAATACCACCTAGCGACCGAGATACCCTTTGGTTGACCAGACATAGAACTCTAATACACAGTGTTCAACTCTCATGGAGGTGAACCCAGTGCTTTGAGGACTTGTGAAGATCCTGGGGATGTGCATGAACTACCAAGGTATTGACGTCGAATGTGATAACACCTGCAGTTGCTTTATGCATGACACACATACAGGCCAACCGCCTCTGGAAAGAGCTAAACGCGCACACTGCTAAGTGGCTGGCTGCTCAATAAATCAACATATCACATTTGGAAGCGTATTTGGAAGTGGTTTTATTCTATTAGTAGTCGATAATCAATTGCTATTGTTTCCCCCTGAACAAGTTGTATGTTGCAAAATTAAGTAGGCAAAGAGCGTAGAGACACACAAAACGCTTGTGAGCGCTTCGAATTCATTCATGTCGGCTTCTACGATGAGCATGGCTACAAGAACATGTTGCCTTACAAAGTAATGATGACTTTCACAAAATAAGTCTGAATTGCAGATTGAGCAGAGAATCACACCCTCTTTGAAGAAAGACAGAAAGCAAGAGTTATTGAATCATCTAAGCATCTCTACATGGGACAATAGCTTACTTCTATGATCACAATCCCCCCAAGCCTCATATAGTATAGAAATAGAACAAGAAAAAGATATAAAGTATTCATTACAAAGGAGGACGAATTCACTGGCATTTGGAGGCTGTTGTCGCATGACTTCGTGCAATTGAGGGTCATGATTGATTGCCCTAGAGAACCGCTAGCGGCATCTAACACACGCGCCAACCGCGTCCCGCCCTCTGGGAGAGAATACACACCTTTGTGCTTACCTAGGTAGGCATGCTTCTTTTGTCCATCCTTCTTCTACATATGGCTATATAGCTGATGGAAAATAGTTACTGAGATGCTCTGGGACAGACCAGGTTCATTCTCTTCATGTCTTCACCTCCATCCTTCCGAGAGTCGTCTCCAGCAGGCGCTCCCGGCCGACGGAGATCTCAGTTCACCTACCGTAACTTATCCCAGCTGGCATCTAGATCTAGCGCAAGCGCAACATCATGTCCACTTCGAGTGATTGCCCATATCGACCTCGATGCCTTCTATGCACAATGTGAGATGGTACGGCTAGGGACAGCTGATGACCAGCCTCTCGCAGTTCAACAATGGTGAACAGCCCCAGCCGGCACACGTACCTGGTAGTGACGCAATTGACGCTGACGTTTTCGCAGGCAAGGCTTGATTGCCATCAACTATCCAGCTCGCAAATTTGGCATTGGCCGCATGTGCACTGTTGACGATGCAAAGAAGCTGTGCCCAGAGATCATCTGTCAGCATGTGGCAACCTGGAAGGAAGGCGACGAGAAATGGGCGTATCATGATGACGCCGCGGCCAACATTGCTACCCACAAGGTGTCTCTGGACCCTTACCGCCTCCAGTCGAGGAAGATATTGGCACTGATTAAGGAATCTCTCCCTTCAAACCTACAGAAGGTGGAAAAGGCCAGCATTGATGAGGTTTTCCTGGACTTGTCCGCCCAGGTGCACTCTCTGCTGCTCCAAAGATTCCCGGAGCTGGCGCGTCCTCCTCCTTACGATGATCCTACAGAGCATCTACCTCTACCATCTGTATCAGCACTCGATTGGCAGGCTGATGCGCTGGTCGACTTGGACGCCTCGCAAGAAGAGACGGACGATCCAGACTGGGACGATGTAGCCATGTTGATTGGATCCGAGATTGTACGTGGCATTCGGGCAACAATACGCGAAAAGTTGAAGTACACCTGCTCCGCGGGGATAGCGGGCAACAAGATGTTGAGTAAGTTGGGCTCAGGTCACAAGAAGCCCAATCAGCAGACAATCATACGAAACCGCGCGATACAGCATTTCCTCTCAGGCTTCAAGTTTACTAAGATACGGAACCTCGGCGGCAAGCTGGGAGATCAAGTCGTGCAGACATTCGACACGGATAGTGTGAGTGACCTGCTCCTCATCCCTGTCGAGCAGCTGAAGTCGAAACTTGGTGATGACACAGGGGTCTGGGTCTACAATACAATTCGTGGCATCGATGCAAGCGAGGTCAATTCTCGGACACAGATCAAGTCGATGCTCTCGGCAAAATCCTTTCGGCCCAGTATCAACAAATTTGAACAAGGAGTAAAGTGGCTTAGGATCTTCGTAGCTGACATTTTCTCGCGACTGGTCGAGGAAGGTGTGCTCGAGAATAAGCGAAGGCCCAAGACCATCAACCTCCATCATCGCCATGGTGGTCAAACCCGGTCTCGTCAGAGCCCAATTCCCCAGGGGAAACCAATAGATGAAGCCATGCTGTTTGACCTTGCCAAACATCTGCTCAACCAGATAGTCCTCGAAGGCAGGGTATGGCCCTGCGCCAACCTGAGCCTCAGCGTTGGAGGGTTTGAAGACGGGATCAGTGGGAATATGGGCATTGGGGCGTTTCTTTTGAAAGGAGAAGAAGCGCATGCAATCAAGTCTACCTCACGAGATGGCTCAGCCGAGCCGCAATCAGCCAGACCGGAGAAGAAGAGGAAGGTTGAGACGGAAGGCATCCAACGATTCTTTGTGAAAAGGCAGGCATCCGGCGACAGTGATAAGGACAGCCCATCGGACGCAGCCACCAATCTTGACAGTGGCGGTGAAACATATCCTGCCCGCCATGCAGAACCCAGTTCAGGCAGCGGGCTCGATTTGGGAGGACCTTCCGCAGGTGCCGAAGGGATTTCATCAAAAGATCACTACGAACAAACACCAATCACGGCATACATGTGTCATCGTTGCAACATAAGCCTCGATACACAGAATGAACTCCAAAGCCACGAGGACTGGCACTTTGCTAAAGACCTTCAAGAGGAAGAACGTGTCGGATCCGCATTTGCTGGCAGTTCGAATGCTCCTGCATCTGCAACGCGGAGCGACAAGAAGAACACGAGCGCGTCGTCTAAACGGGCTGCAAAAAGCAAGAAGGTCGAGGCAGGGCAGAGCCGGTTGAACTTTGGATGATTTGCTTCATGCGGTGCTGATGGAGGCCACGTCGACGCATACCTCTGCTCGCGAAGCGAGGATTGACCGGCCCATCGAGAAGTCTCTTCAAGCCCCAGAACTGATAAGCACGACCATCTGAACATCTCGATCTAACAACCCTGCCCGGGCAATCGCGAAGCCACACGTTCTGCATCGCATGAGGCCTGGGTGAGCAAGGAATGTCCTTCCCCCATGGGCTCACGGAACCTTGTCGGAAGCCGTGATCCAGGGGAACCTCGCAGAGACCCACACATACGTCCTCGGCGTCAAGTGTTTGTATGCATGCCGGCTGGAGAGAGAAACTCTTCCCGCGGAACCTTGAGCTGTGCTTCCGGTTTGAGGCTTCCGGCTTCAGCAGTATCTTTCTGATGCAATCGTGGTACTCACAGTCATGCACAGACGCACGCAAACAGTTCACACGCCGTCCTTTTGCCGTAGCCCCCCGAGTGCGAGTGCGCCGGCCTTCAATGCCTACAGCCGCGACGAGTGCAAGAGTGACCCGAGAGTCAGGTACCGATCACGTCTTTGGACACCAGAAGCTCCCAGAACGGTATCATGGCTTGCTTATGACACAAACAACTGTAACCCCGTTTTGAATTGGTGCCATATTGCCTCGCTACCCGTGACGCTTGTCCGTCCGGCTCTTCCCCAGAAGAACCGGTCTGAGACGACGAGACTGGATTTCCATGGATTTCCAAGGCAGGCACTCGCTGACTGGTAGCCGGTCGTCTTGTAGGCATGTCACTAACATCGACTGGCGACTCTGATTGGCTGCCATCCAGGCAACCCACCCCCCCCTGGTCCGTCGCTGTTAGGCCTGGCCGCATTGATACCCAACCTGTCCAGCCGAACTCACGAAAGCCGCTGATATTTGGATCAACGTCTCACACAAAAAGCCTCGGGATGGTCAGGTCGACGATTGGAAACAAATGCAGGACCGTCAGACAGGATGAGAGCCGGCCCCATATGCAAAGACCACGTCGCCATATTTCTTTGGTCACCATCAGACCGGCCGGCGATAATTGGGCGTACCACCAGGCACAGATTGGCGTCGCTTGCGACGGGCATGATAAGAACATGTAGTAGTTGAGTTGCGATTAGTTCCCGTGCTGCGAATGGCATCACTGGGTTGCGAAAAGGCGAAAAGGGTGGCCCCGGCCCGTTTTATAGTGGAATGAAATTCCATGACCCGTTCCGGTAGAGGCGCTCTGTGAGGTGTCAGCGAGCACCAAGCACCAAGCGATGGCAAGCGGATATCCCACATGACATACCGAATGAAGAAGCACTGCCTGGTGAAGAGACATTTCACATCTAAATCAATCAATCAATCATAATCTTCCGCATGCTGCTGCCGATGTTGAATCAGGCTGGCTGGGGTTTCGCGAACACAAAGGTCCAAGCTACACCCAAAGCAATCACCGAACCAGCCTCACGCTTTCAGGTGAACGGCAGGTACTATGCAGTATCACGCCGATACAATTCATTTCTTACCACCTTCGTGTGGCTCGGCCGGTGGAGAGACCACGCAGCTTTTCAAGTCGCCGGTTTCCAGACCGGTCATCTGCATCGCCTTGCTGTACCAAAGTACCAGTAGCAGAGAGCAGACGAGGCGATGGGAGCCTTCGTCCCATCTCTCACTGGTACTGGCATCAGGGGGTTCAGCCTCTGCCGTAGCGCATCACGCAGGCTCCGAGAGCAGGATTTACTATGTACACTACAACGAAGCGCGGTTCGCCCAAAGCCCAAAGGCCGGTGGGCATTGCTCGGTTGTCCCCGCTCTCGCCTAGAACACATCCCCTGCTCCAGTAGAAGAGGCTACGGTAGCGGGGCTTGCAGCTTCACTCTTGTGTGCCCTATCAAATATCAAATCCCCAAGCAAATGAGCGATTGCGGGCGAGCAAGCAAGCAAGCAAGCAAACAAGGCAGCCAGCCAGACGGACAGACAGATGGGGAGGAGTCGTCGTTTATGCTTCCCACACTGCCTGCCATCCAGCCTGCTGTGCCACTCCGCTGGAGGTGCCGGTATCTCCTCCTGACACAATACAATACCCTCCTCACCGCTGCGCCTATCAAGTCAGTCATCGTCATTATCCTGCAGGCGACCCAGGCGGGCGACCTACCAACACTACGCAGTAGCGCAGCCTGCAGTCACCCACTCGAGCCACTGCATCTCACCAGCCAACCAGGCCCTCCCACGCACACGGTGACCGCACACAGGAGTCTTTACTTGGCCAGCGTGGTCCCAGCGGCAGGCCATTGGCTTTTCTTTCCCTCACCTGACGTCTGGGACCAAGGGACCTTGCCAATACCGGTACTGGCCTCTGTCTCTGTCTGTCTCTCTGTCTGTCTGGACTCTGGAGAGACTGGCTCGACTGGGCTGCCGCCCGCCGGAAGTACCTTCGCTTTTCAGGATCACCCTGCTGCGGCTTTTGTCTCTGTCCTTGCAGCTGCTTCTGGGATACATAGATACATTTTGGTCATGTACGGTACGGACCCCATGCATTCCCATACATCCCATCCCATCCCAACCATCCATCCATCCATCCACCCACTTCCACATCAGCCTGCAACCTGCACGGCTTCTCCTGGACCACCGCCGCCGGATGTCTGTCTCTGCAAGTACAAGACTTGTATCTACCAGTACTTCCCCTGCCTGGCCTGCTTTTGTGCGAGCACACTTGCGTACTCTCTGTACTGTCTCGCTAGGTACCATCCTGCCTAGCATAGGTAGCAAAAGAACCCAACCATTTGGGAACCATTGGAACACTGGCCTTACTGACTATGTACTGGGAGGAGGCCAGTCGGTCGCCACCTGTCAGGGATCGTGTCAGGCTACCGCACGGAACGGCCAGCCAGCGGCGTATCACGGTGCGAGCCTTTTGTCTAACTGCCCAACCCAACCGGAGGCAAAGTGACAAGTGACCTGCCTCTAACGTTACCGCTACCCAAGCCTACTGCATAGTACTGCATAGTACTGCCACTATCCCAATTCTCCCCTGCTCGGACCCCACCCCTGAGCCCAGCCCAGCCCAGCCCAGCCCAGCGCTGGCTTGCTTGTCTTGTCTTTGCTTGCCTGCGTGCCGGCCCTTTTCTTCCCTCGTCCTCCCCCCGTTTCCCCTCCATCGCACCCTTTCCCAATTCATTTCCCATCTTTTTCTGCTGGTGTGTTGCCTCTCCACCACTCTTCTGAACATCACCACCTCTCTCCTCACGACGACCCTTTCTTCCTCCCGAATCCGTGCTGTTCTGTCTTACCATCATCTATCGCTCGACCTCCTCCTCATACTCCCTTCTTTCTCTCTCTCCTCTCTCGTCTCCCCTTCGTCACAGATCCACACAGACAGACAAGATGTCGAGGCAATCAAGAGGAACCAACAACTCCATGTCCGCGGCGAGCAATCGTCAGAACGAATACTTCGTTCCTCGCGATGGCATCGATCGAGAGGTCATCACCGCCGACATCTGTCGATACCTAGGCAATGACGCTCTGGTCCGACCTGGCACTTACGAGGTAGGCCTTCCTTCTCAGCCGAGTCCCTGTCCCCCCGTCACCCCGTCACCCCGCCGCGAGGCGCCCCCGCCAGGTTACTTATCGATTATACAACAGGCGGACGGCCGTGCCATCCAGGGCTACTACATCACCGCATACAGGAATTTGACATCGGTGAGTGAATAATGCGCCATCGCAAGACAAGACCACCGCTGAGTAGGCTTGTCGCGTCGTGTTAGGCCATGATCGCCGACCTAAAGAACGATTCCGCTCGCTGGGATCAAGAGAGGCGGAAACATCAAATGGGTGGAGGTACAAAGATCTCGCGAGATCCATCCGACGTTTTTTCGAGAAACTCTAACTCCCCAATAGTCCGATACGGCGATTCGCAGTATCGAGATCAACAATCGCGTGGCCAATCTGGATACCCTGGAAGCGGAGCCATGAGTTCTTATGATAGTGTCCCCAGATACCCAGGAAGTGATGCCCCAGGATACAGCGGTGGCGGTACATCCAATCCCTCCTTCCAGCCCTATGGAGCCTCGGGCGGGTTCCCAGGTGGCTCTCAGTACCCTCAGCAGGCCGGTTATCCCTCCCCAGCCGCGGACAGCAGGTATCCCGGAGCCTCCGCTGGAGCTCCCTATGGCCAGGGATTTGGAAGCCATCAACAAACCATGCAGGACGCTCCCTATGTGCAAGGCTCCAACTTCGGGGCCCAGGATTACCGCCAGGATGTCAGGATGCAGGATGCACCTGTTCAATCAAATAGACCAGGATTCCCGTCAGGAGTGCCCCAGCCTGCTTACGGAAGCGCCGCTCAAGGAGGATTCCCATATCCCCAAGCTCAGGGCTCAACGCAGACAGGTGCTTCATATGCCGCTCAGCCGGTCGACGCCTTCTACGGCCGTGGTGCGTACACCGCGACTCCAACAACCCAAGCATCTTCTGATTTTGTAGCATCCCCAGCGACCAACCAACTAGGCTACAGCACAGCTCCCCCTGCAGAACAACAGTATGAAGACCCAACCCCCCGTCCTCCCCGCGCAGCAGCGTCCTCTACCAGTACTCAGGCTCAAATGGGAAATAGTGGATCATCTAACGCGCCGCAACGCCGGGAACGATCGGACCGCGATCGGGAAGACCGACCTCCGTCGGACAAATATGCTCGCAGCAGCCATCACCACCGGAGAGGGTAAATATCCCCTGAAGATTGTATGATCATGTCCTTGCACGTGACGCCCGTCTCGTGACTGATTTCTTGGTGATTCTCTCGCCAAACCTCGACCCTCCGGATTCCGGATTCCGGATTCCTATACTTCTTTACTGGTACTGGCGTTTTCGCTGCTGTTTTTACTCTTGAACCATGGATAGACCTGGGACAGGAGGTCTCAGACCTCTCTAGAGTCGCAGCAAAGTGTTGCTTCTCTATCA